TGTGTGTGTGTGTGTGTGTGTGTGTGTGTCTCTATTTAAAATTTAGCTGACCAATCAAAGCGCTTTACAGTACAGGTCACATTCATCTATCCACACAGTGCGGCTATACACCGTTTATACACCGTGGGTGCAGCTGTGTGGGACTCTGTATTTTGCCCAAGGACCGGAGCAGTGGTGTTAGTGGACGAGTAGTGGCTCTATCTCCTGAGCACACAGCTCATTTGTGTGTGTGTGGTTTATAAATCAAGTCAATCAAGGTTTGTTTTTTTTCAATGGTTGAGTGTTGTAGGCTCTTTTCAGATGTAAGATATCGCCCCAGATATATCCTGGTTTTATCTGCGGTGGACCAATGTTTTCAAAAGAACTTTAAGTGTGACGCCTCACTGTAGTTAGAACTGTTCATGTTGTGTTCACTCGCAAGTGTGACTGAAGTGGTACTTTACTCTTAGTGTAGGGAAATGCAAAGCAGATGCAGGTAATATGCAGGTTGACAAATGTCCACAACAAAGGCAAAGGATTAGCCCCAAATATTTAAGTCACACCACTTACCTCAAGAAATACAAAGATTGAAAATTGATGAGTATCAGCAGCCCAGAGCTCCTCTTCCTCAGGGTCAAACCACTCTCACACAGACAAGAGACCTCATCCGGTTATCCTGCGATGTGTGTGTGCATTTTTGAAAAAAGCAAATGAATGTAATGTAATCACATTTTGTTTTCTCTGTGAGGAGACTGATTCCACTGCTGAACATTAGAACAATACACAACTGTGTGGAACAGGAATGATGACATGTTGTTGTTGGCATTTCTCTGAGTCAGTGGTGGTAACATTAGTTTGTTTTTTCTTATTTGTCACTTAAATGTCCCCATCAGGCTCCACACTCCCAGTCTTTAACACAAGCTTTCTCACACTCTTTAATAAAAGCATCTTTAAAAAAACAATATATTACAAAAGGTTCTTGACAAGCTGAAGATAAATGGTGGTGTTGTTTTTTAAATGACACTAAGGAGCTGTGCTAACATCTCCCACATCCGTGTTTTGAAGTGAGAATAAAGGTCAGACATGTTTCTGGCCACAAAGTAACGACGAGTGTGTGTGTGCGCGCATGTGTGTGTGTGTGTGTGTGTGTCTGCGTGTGTATTTATGTGTGTGTGTGTATGTGTGTGGCTCATTTGCAGTGGGTCTAAGCTCATGTTTGTGTGGCAGCAGGTGAGATTGGATCATCCAGGTTATGGTCTGTCAGAGTTGTGTGTGTGTGCAAACGAGCGGTGTTCCACATCCTCTGCTTTCACCTCGATCGGGATGAACAGGTCGGTCGCTGGCACGCAAACACAATGAGCAGCATTTTTATCAGAGAAAGAGAGAGCACAAGAAGAAGAGGAGGAGGAAGACAAACAGAGGGGTGAAGAACTTTATTTGGGCTTTGGTTAGTCACTCTTACTTGTTGTTTCACAAGTGTCGGTCTATCTCTGTCCCTGTTGTGTTGGGTTTTGTTGTGTTGGGTTGTGGAGGGATCTTCGAGGAAACACACAGTGAGAGGACCGCCAGGCTTGCAGGGAATGACGACCAAAACCACAACACCACCAACAACACAGCTTGGCTATCAGACTACATTTATATATGCAGTGGGGTCCAAAATATTTATATATGTATATATACGAAAACAGTATATATCCCAATATTAATTAAAGTTTTCTCTTGTTTGTTATGACTTCTCTGCATAGTTATGGGAGAAGTGCCGCCCGCACGATGGGGTTATTACTCCTCGGGGTTGGACTTGGGGTCAGGAGGATGGAAAATGATTGTTGTTCAGGGTTAGGTAAATGAAAAAAGGTTGTGAGAGTGACACAGAGCCCTTGAGTGAATAATGTAGGCCACAGAAATATGCATGGGAAATGTTGTGATGCCACTTCAACACAAATATGCCATGTGTAATAGGAAGTTATGCATGGTTAACCCCATAAACTTGGAGCCCTCTCTCTATCTGTTTGTGCTCTTTTCTTCTCCTCTGTTTCTAATTCCCTCTCAGTGTAGTGGAACCAGGCGTGGCTGCTCGGTTTTGCTATTCCTGTTTAAACCCAATGTCTTTCTCTTCTCCCATCCTCCTCTCCTTTATTTAAATTCCCTCATTCCTCCCTGCTCTCTGGGAAAGGCTTGAGGTGTCGGCCATGTATGTGCAGCAGATGATTGTATTTATCAGTGTTTGCACAGAAACCAGAGCAGCAGAAAGGAGAATGAAAACACCGGCTACCAAAGCATCCGCATACCAGAGCTACATTTCAGCTCAGACATGTCCACATCACACACATTTAAAATCCCTCCTTCATATTCACACACACATTCCCATTACACAGACCAGTAGTTCATGTTGGATGGTTTCTCTTTCTCTTTGCAGCGGTGAGGCAGTGTGATCGGAGCCCTTGCGGACGTGGAGCGACGTGCGAGGAGGCTCCTGGAGGTTACAGATGTCTCTGCCCACCTGGGTGGACTGGCAGGACGTGTCAGCTGGGTCAGTGGGTCAGAATTAAACAGCTCTGACTTCAGTGGAATGATACATGTATAATACATATATGCATGTAGGTCACTGCTCATGAATGATGTTGCCTTCATATTCATCTGTAAGATACACGTAGATATTCATACGACACATTTCTGAACCTGGTAGAAATCTGTTTTACTAGTGAATAAGTAAAGCAAAAATTACTTCTACTACCAATCAAGACAAAATGGCAGTATTGATTATCGACTCGAAACAATATCGTGGAGCTGTCACAAAAATGTAGATTCCCAACTTCCTGTCCAGAGTTGAGACTGGAAGTTCAAATGAACAAAACCGTCTCATTTAGGTCCATCAAGGTCCGTTCAGCAGCGTTCTCTCTGAAACTGTAAAAGTGACCTGCAGTAATCAAGTAAAGACCTGCTGCTGGACTCCGTCTGCACGACTCTATGTGTTTGGGCCTCTAACAATACACCTGCCAAGTGTGAAGGCTGATGGTTCTGGGGATATGCTTTCCACATACAGATAGAGAGAAATATTAAATACAGTACATGATTGTGTAAGTCATTCCAGATCAATTTGCTGTACTGTTATATATAGTTGTATATACTATATATACTGACAACGATATCCTCCATCAATATTGTGATACTGATGAAAAGATAAAAGAAATGTAAGCAAAGCTAAAACAAACAGTTATAACAATAGTGTTTTTTAGATGAGATCCATCAATTATGTAAATTATTTAAGAACACATGATATTTTAAAAAGTGTTTAAATGGAAAATAGGTTTTAGAAAGTTGTTGAAAAGGAGAATCTCACTCTTAACTGTTCAGATTCAGACACCAGGGCTTTTAATGCTAAAACAACAAGGTAGCACAGTCATTACCAATGATCCTATGCAGTTCAATTAAAGCGACACTTCACCAGACACAGCAGCTTCATCAGAGATAAAACTATTTAGTTTCACTCAAGAGTGAAAAACATATTGAGGCCTTCAGTATCGCTAACTTTTCTTTTAAAAGATTTGTGATAAAGATTTCCTCTTGGAACAAGAGTGTACATTGTGAATCGGCTTATTGGCATGTGATATACACAACTGATGGTACAAGAAATAAACTAAATATTTAGGTTTGATCTGAGCCTGACAGAAGATCATTATATCTCATATTAGAGCTTTAGCTTGGGGTAATAATTTTTAATCTATTTTATATGTCTCTACAGTTCTTGCAGTGTTTCTATTAGTGAGAGAATCTGATATCTATCATCTTCAAATGGATCTAGTCTTATGACTCTTAATTCTAATCCTGTAAAAAGGGAAATTAATCCGAGTTGTAGCCTAATACACAGAGAGATGCTGCAAATAAAACTGTTTTTTTAATTGATTTGAGATGAAATATGCACAATTTGAAGAAGCAGAAGAAGCCAGAGGCGTGTTTATTCTCCTACCAGCCCATCGTGACTGTGAATCAGTTTTCTATAAATGCAGTGTCATGGCCGCACTCGCTCATATTGACAAGTGTGCTCCCACAGGGTTAGAAGTAGAGTAGAGGGAGTATAGTCCACAATCAGGTGACGCACACACACACTGTATATTCGCATACAGAGGCTCGGGGTTATGAAGTAAAAACACAGACATATTTCAGGATGACAGCCTCTCCTGCTCCTCTGTGTTACAGTGATATGTCACTGTGACACTTGATAATCCCCCATAGTTCCACATCACAGGTCACCAGCTCACATTATAACACACACACACACGTACAGCTTTCAAACACGAGTGATAAAACTCTTTATAGCCTGAGCCGATAGGGAAAGCATCAGTGGAGCCCCAAATGGTGAAAAGCAATTATAGCTTCTATCAGTTTCACTCTTTTATTAGTCGACTTCTGTCCCCACATTTTCTCCTGTTCCAAGCAAATTCCCTGAGCTTTTTCCATAGATAACACCCTCACACACATACACACACACACACACACACATAGCTAAATCCTAATAGGCCTCTCGCTGATGGTAACAGGTTTAGATTACCTATAACTGACCGACTACTTCCTCTTTATTCATCCAGTGTTTCTTTCGAATCTGTCTCCTCTGCTATCAGACCCGTGCCCTCAGGGGTTCTTGGCTTTAACACGCCCAGTACAACAGAGGGTGGGAATAAGCACACATCGACTTTACAGAAGAAAAGGTGCTGCAGGGGGGTGTCTGTGCAAACACAAAGAGGATGTGAGAAGATATATGTGATGTTGCGTCTTATTTCCATGGGATGTTTCATCGCTGTTGTGCTGGTTATGAGTTATGCAGCAAGATTATATTGATATTTTGGTTAATTTAATGTATGTCGGCCTTCTGCTTTCAAGCAAAACAGTTCATTTCAACCAGAACCAACCGAGACATATACTCAGGAGCACCAAGGGGACTTTGGGGGCCCCAGGCGAGAGGGACCAAGGATCCCAGAAAATTTTACTAAATCATTTTTGCCATGGACTAACATAAACAGCTGCTCTCGGGGGGCCCTCTCAGCTCAGGGCCCCAGGCAAATGTCTGTTTTGCCTGCCCTGTTTCAACTACTCTGGGTTCACTTCCACTCCAAAATAATATATATGCTATCGCTAAATGAACTCTTGACGTTGTCCTTGACTGTGGCACAATTTGATAATCTGATAACCCAATTGAATCTGACTAAGCCATCGCTGAATCAATTAACAAGATGGGGACATAGATGTTTGGTACCAGGCCATTCTCTCCAAAACAGATAATATATGAAGGACTAATATCCCAGAAGGGATCAATAAAATACACATAAAGCCATTATAAATCAGGTATGAGCTTCTTTCACTAATTTGCAATTTAAACTCCCCTCATCAACATCTCATTTCATTTCAGCTGATTTTAATGCAAAAGTTTAATTTCTCATGATAACCTAAACGCCATATGACCCATTGACATACTAATGTGATTCCACATCAGGCAGTCTTTATAATATTTTTACTGTCCCACATTTCAATATACACGAGGCACCACTAACAGCTGCAATATGGTAAATAGGCAAATTATCAGTTGGAAGTAATAAGATCTATTCATTCATCACAATGTGACCTCAGCAATTACACAGGTAAAATGTTGTTTATGTTAGTTTATTTTAAGTCGTCTTAGAAACGCTGTCCTCTTTCCTTTGTCCCTTTAGACACCAATGAGTGTGAAATTAATATCTGTGTTCACGCCCGCTCTTGTCGCAACCTGATCGGTGGATACCTGTGTGACTGCCTCCCTGGATGGACGGGTCCTAACTGTGACATCAGTGAGTATGAAAGAGAACGACTGAAACAAAATGATAGAAGAAGAGAGGAGTGATGGCAGGTGCTGCTGTGGCAGGTATTGAAACATGGAGGGCCTCTGTGGATCGTGTTAAAACAGCAAGTTCCCGTACAGCCTGAGTCCCCGAGAGCATGAGATCACTTTACTCCGACTGCAGTTCTATCAATCATCTGTCACAGCGTTCCACTGAAATTCACTAAAAATCTAACAGAAACCAATTAAGTGTGTAAAAAGTGTGTTTTTCACAATCTCCTTCCACAGACATGTTTCTGTGAAAAGCTTCAAACTGACATCCTAATCGCAGAGTATCCTTAATTGTATTCTAATCATGTTTGTGGATAATAATGCACGGCATGTTTCAACCACACTTTGTGTATTGTCGTTTACATCCATACGGTGATTGTGTGAGCGTTTAATATCTCGTCTCTGCTTTCTGTGGTTTCTAGGGAACAGCAGCTGTCAGGGTTTGTGTTTGAATGGAGGACGTTGTGAGGTGAGGCTGTGCAGGCTTGTTTTTTTTATTCCCTGTTGTCTCTGCATATCACATATCATATCACCGGCCCTCAGTCTTTACACTGGTCATCTTCTCTGTATCACTCATTATCTGTAGAAGAAAATAGTGGGATTTGTGTTTGTATCTTGGACCAAATTCAAGAAATGCAACATATTGTAGAGCTTATTTTGCCTCAGGCCGTGTGCAGTATTTATTATCAAATGTGTCATAGCCTGAAGCAAACTCATTCCTTTCCTTGTACAGTGCCTCTTTCCACCAATTCAAATAATCACTGCTCTGTCAATCTCACCTCTGTCCCAACAGGACCAGGTGTCAGGATCCAGATGCTGGTGTCTGCCTGGTTTCTTGGGAAAATATTGTCAAAATGGTCCAAGTCCATGTCTCAGCGCTCCCTGTCTCCACGGGGGACAGTGTGTGGAGAGGGATGGAAAGATCGCATGCAACTGTCCCATGGGATTCTCAGGGACCCTCTGTGAGGTTGGTCATCTCTTCATAGATTTATAGATTAGTTTAAGCACATGCAGAATGAAAATATAAATTTAACAGACATTCAGTAATAAAAGCTAAATTGATGACATCTCAGGTTCAATCATTCACAGTCATAAATGTCGGGCAAATATGAAACAAATCAGAATGAGCAAGTTAAAAAGAGTTGTATAAAATTAAATATATCAATAATATGAATAATTAAACTAAATATTGTTACTTTGCACTTTCAATTACATGTTTTAATTAAATCTTGAAAACTTGCACAGAAAACAAATTAGGGGGATCTCTTAATGACCAGTTTTGGCACAGAATACAATTAAACTGTATGTGTCTATATAAAATGTATGAAAGCTGTGTGAAATCTTCAGACGTTTTGATGACCACTAGATTTGGAAACCGCTGAAAACCTCCATACAGTAAAGGGTTTGTAACACTGTATAGCTATAGGAGGAATAATGAGCCTTTCTTTCCCTTATTGGTTCATTCATCGCATCATTCCAGGTCGCGTTGGATCTATGCAATCCCAACCCCTGCCAACAGGGGGTGCCCTGTCACATCACCGAAGGCAGGTACATGTGTGCCTGTCCTGAGGGTTACTATGGTAACGAGTGCAAAAGCCTCAAGAATCCCTGCACTGGTCAACACTGTCCCGGTAAGAAGGAAAATGAAAGTTTATCTCAAATGTGTCAAATGTTAATGAAGTCAGGTCTGATCCCTCTCATCTCTTCACGTGTGCAGGTGCCATGTCTGACACGCCACACGGCATCAGCTTCTACATGATCCTGGTGTGCGTCTTAGCGTTAGTGACTGTCTGTGGTTGCGCGGCCTGTGCCTTCATCCTTTCCCACCTCCATCGAAAGCGGAAAAAGCAGCAGGCCGTCCCGCAGGAGGAGGGCATCAACAACCAGAGGGAGTTTGTCAACCTCATCAGAAACGTGGACCGTCCCGTGCCCCTCCTGCCACCCACTGCCCCTCTCACGCAACCCCTCGCCCCCGCCCCTGTCTCACGCTGCTACGAGGAGATTGAACTGACGCTGCCGCCCTCCCCGGCCCCCTCGCACCCGTCCCCCGCGCTAAAGCCTGTCCACGCTCCCAAACAGGACATTTCCAACCGCGACAGAGAGAAGTTGAACCGCTTCCACTCCATGGAGAACCAGGAACTGGAGGTCTGACCTTTGACCTCTGAGGCATCTGAGGAGCTTTTTTTAATTTTATTTTGCATCCTCTGCACTCTTTCGCCCACAGGGCCCTGTCTCCAGGTGCTGCCACTATATCACAGTTGCAGTTATGAAAACGGGACGACCCTTTGACCTTTACGTGCTCAGATGACAGACACCTGAGAAGCAAAGGCTGCTAAGTGGAGGGGTCAAAAGTCTTACTTCGTCTTTGGGCCTATTTTGACGACTGTGACAAGCAGCGAATGCACAATGTTTGACTGAAAGACTCTTCAGGCTCTTGAATTAATGTGGAGACGTGAAGATGGAGTGCCTGACGTGCTGTGGAGAGGAAACAGAGGATCATCTTCTGCAGGAGCCTCTCAACATGTTTCCTGGTCCACGATGCCACGATCACTAGTGTTCAGACCTCCAGTTCTGTTTTAGACTGAACTCAGACAGGCCGAGCAATGAACGGATGTTTATTTAACACAGCGTGTTTCTGTGTCTGGGTGTTCGTAATTGTGTGTGTGTGTGTGGTTGAAAGACAAAGAGAGAGTGTATAATATGAGTGTGTGGGAGGAAAAAATCAAACAAAGATGATATACTTGTGAAAAGAGAGTGTGTACTCCTGAGCTTCTTAAAACTGTTTTCAAACTATACACTGTTGCCTGCATTGTCTCTGTGATACTACAGTATGTTAAAGATGTATGATTGTTTCATACCTGGGTGTAAAATAGCTTTTTGTACATATTGTACATATTGTTGCTCTTTTTGTACTGTGGTTTGGTCTGAAATCATTTCTTTACTACTTTGCTCTATTTGTCCCAGTTCACTTTCCCTCTCAAGCAAACAGCACATGTGGATTGTAATAAAGGAGCATTTACCAACTATATCCTATTGTTTGTTGCCTGTAATCATTCATCTCCACGGTTGGTGGTAGAGGGAGGTATCAGTGCTGCAAGATAAAAATTACTGGGGGTTTTGCAAGAGAGACCAAAACATTTCCTGCCCTTTTTAAATGTAAATAACAAG